ACGTGCTCTGGGGTTTTAGGGTATTCGACAAATAAAGTCATTCTCCTCTCTGGGCTTGGAATCATTTGAGATGTAGGTGTAAGATGGAGATAAAAATGTCTATTTTGCAACTGTTTGGAGGGTGTGATGTCAATATGCAGAAAGAGTGAGCTTGCAACATTTTACATGGGATTAAACTTACCAATGAAAAGCACAGAAGAGCTAGAAATCTCCCTACCAGCCTAGTAGGGAATGCTTGCCTGCTTCCTGTGGGCAGGTTGGCACCCAGAGACGATGGGGCCGAGGTGAGTGTGTCTGGGTCTGCCTTCCAGACACTCCAGTCAGGTAGCTGAAGGACACGGGAGGACTGCTGGGAGATGTTAAGAGTCATTACTCCGGTAACCTCCATCCCCAGGGGGACGGGGACACACACACACACACACACACACACACACACACAGATAAACCGCTACCCCGGGCCCTAGGCACACGGAGGACTGGGTATCTGGAGCCAGGCCAACAGGAAACGAGGGAGAATGAGAACTGCAGGCCAGGTGAGCAAGGGAGTGAGAACTGGGGACAGGCTCCAGAGCAAGGTGCCTGCAGCTGAGCTTTACCTGCACGGAGGCTTGGGTCTGGAGCCAGGAGCAGAGCAGACAGCTGACGAATGGAATGGATAAAGGACTTGAGTGGGAAAAAAGACTGGGAGAAAGCTGAGAAGAGCTTAGAGCTGCCATAGAAAGTATACTTAAGGAATATCGAATTTGCCTATTTGCTCCATGTTTCAATAAGGAATTTGCAATGGCCAAGGTTTGTGTGTGAATAGGTGTTAGAACGTGTACCTGGGGAGAGAACATGGGAGTGCAGGTGTATGAGCTGGTGCTACGTGACATGAGGCTGGATTTCTCTATGTGGGAGTATGGAGAGGGAGCATTCCTAGTTGCTACCAATCACAACCTGGAGCAGGGCTCTGCAGGGCTAGAACTGGGCACTTCCAGGCACTTGGGCCACCTCTGCCAAAGGGCAGTAGCTACAGAGCTTGCGTGACCGTGGGATGAGATCAGAGCTCCTGGCTCCCACTTGCCCTGAAGGAAGAATATTGACTTGCTCCAGAACAAGCCCTGGGGTTTGAGAAGAAGTCCTGAGGCTTAACATTTTTTTTTCATGATTTGCCTTCACATTTTGTGTTTTAGTTTGGGACAGCTCCAGGATCCGACTCTTTGGGAGAAGGGAGGAGGAGCAGATAATTTTAACAGCTAACATGTATTGAACACTCACAAGGGACCAGGCACTGTCTAGAGTGCTTTGAGTGTACAGCTCACTTAATCTTCAGGCATGAAGAGGCTTAGCCATTTGCCCAAAGGCACACGGGTAGTGCGGGCTGGGCTGGAATGCCAATCCGGATAGTCTGGCTCCGTAAGCCACACTCTGAACAACTAATGAGTCAGAAAAGAAGGTGGAATCGTCCCAGTCTCAGACCTTTCCCATGCGAAAGGATCAGAGCTCCCATTAGGCTAGTCCTGAATTCAAATCCTGGATTGGGGCTCTACATTTAGCTGGACCTACACCCGACCCCCTTAACCATGCAGGCCACGCATCACCTCCTTCAGTCACACCACAAGAGTGTGTTCCAGGGAGAGGCTGGGCCACTGTTCCCACACACAATTCCTCACAACGTGCAGGTTGCGCAACAGACAGACGTCTAGGTGGCTGTGCAAGTACTTCCTGGTTCCTGATGGAGGACGTGGGGCGGGGACTGAGGGCCAGAGGGAGAGGTCGAGGGGAGCGGCAGAATGCTAGAAGACCCAGCGCTGTGAGGCAGTTCATCCACTCATCCCACGGACTGTTGGGCTTCTGCTGCTTGCCCCTTACTGCCTTCCCTTTCTTAATGCGTTGCTCTACGCAGACACTCGTTCCCAGCTTTCTGGGAATCCACACTTCAGTGGGGTCAGCGAGGCCCTTACACAGCTGCTCCTCCACCTTCCTGGCCCAGTATCTGGCCGCCTAGACTGGAGGCCCCACTGGTACATGGGTTGCGTTCAGTCAATAACGCTTGGAAGCACAAGTGAGCTCTGTATTACCGTCCTTTCGGCAGGGGCGGCTGGCGTGCCCGAAGCGCCTGGTTCTAGCCCTGCGGAGCCACGGGGACCAACCCAAAGCACCAGCCATCAGCTTTGTTCCTCAAGCCTCTGGAGAAAACCTTTGATTTCATGGGATGATTATTTTTATTCTTGCCCACTCAAGGATGAAGCCCAAGAAACAAGAGGCTGCCCCTTTCAGAGGCATCACAATGGGTCACCTCCAGCCAAACCCACTGGGTTTTGTTTTTTGTTATTTCTGGGTTCGGTTGAGCCTCTCTCGGAAACCATTACTATACAACTTACTTAAAAGAAAGAGTGGAGGGATTGAGCATAAGAGAGTCAGAGGGCGGGGGGAGGACCTGGGGGGTTTGGGACAGGGAGACTGCAAGTCATGGGTCGTCAGAGAAAGTGCCAGAAGAACACATTAAAGTCACCATCTGATTTGAACCAATTCCATTTTTTAGTGACATTTTTAATCTTTTGCAAAGTCAAACTGCTTGAAGTTTGACTTCTGGCCAAGCCTGGAGAATTGGAACTTTGGATGAAGGCTTCAGAAAAAGACAACACACACACACACACACACACACACACACACACACACACACACACACTGAGAAAGGGGAGAGAAAGGGGAGGGAGACTTTTATCCTAAAGTCATTGTAAATCCAAAGCAGGGTTTTATCCTCCACAGTTAAACGAGAAAGAAAAAAACCTCAAGAATACCAACATTTGAGGTACAAAGACTGTCATGGGCCAGTGGAAGTTTGCAGAATTATATGTAAATGACTGAAGTTTTTTACTGTGGTGGCCCCGTGCATTTCCAGAGCTAATCCCAAAGAGAAAATCTACTTAGCAAAGGAAAGTTTTGTCTAATTTGGTTAACAGTTGAGAAGTGACAAAAATGCTGAATATATTAATAATTTATATTTCCAGGGTAACACTATATCTTTAATGCTTCACTGCCAGAGGGAATTCAGACTGGCTTAAAGCTCAGAGGAAAAAAGCCTGAAAGGCCTTCTTCATATTCCGTATCCAGTGCTGACAAAAATGGGTGTAAGACATGTGTCCCAATAATGGGCGCCGTGCATTCTCCCCGTTCTGCATAGCTGTGCCCGTCCCGTGTTGCTCAGTGTGCAGTTGTTACCCAGAGGTCTCCTGGCCTTGCACTCACTTTCATGCTCCAACTCTATCAGTTCATGAGGGAGCAGATATTTGTTTGCGTGTCCCATTTTTAGGTAAGTATTGTAGTGACTGTAGTGCACGTCAGGACAACAGCCACTTGCTTATACGACCTTTTCGGAAGCTTATAGATCCTCCCTGCCCCCCAAAACATATACATTTAAGTGTCACTTTATGGGCAGTGTAATGCAGTGTTTTGTTGTCCTGTCTCTGTATTCAGGTCTGATGGTTTACAAATCACGGGTCAACCTATTCCATGACCTCAGTAAACAGTCTGGGTCAGAGCTCCCTTAAACCCTGTCCACAGAGATGGAATAAGTTAATTTATTGTCCTTCAGCTAATCTGGGAGAAGACAAATCATCATCTTTGAGCTAAATGGCCTCTGGAGACAGGAAAACCTGCTACATAATTTTGAATCATTTATTTGAGAAAAGCTAACAGGAACAACAAGAAAAGATGCAAACAAAGAAAAAGATCAGTGAAGGAAAAAATCCAAATCCCCAGTAGCACAACATTAGCTGGTTGGGCACTTTGTTAAATTTTACCTGTTTGCATAAGACAACAAGCGGGGCATATTTTGCTGTGTGTGTTTTGGAAAAACGTGGTTTTAGTTCCCTCTTCTAAATGTAGCTGCTGTTTAGTGGGTAAGGTGCAGATCCAACTGGAATTGAAAACCACAGTCCCTTAAAGATACCAACCAAATCTCCCCTAGACCCCAAACGTACCTACGGCCTGGGTGGAGTGAGCAGATTAAAGTCTCCCCACCCTCCCCAGCCAGGGAAAGGGAAAGAGGGGAAGCCTTTCCTTACCAGGCCTGAGAACCTGCGCCGTGGAGCCAACCCAGGGTCTGGACCACAAGCCAGTGGCCTCGCAGTGGGGATCCCGGAGGGAACAGCCCCTCGGGGCAGCTCAACCCCTGTCCTGTTAGTGCTGGCCTCTCACCCTGATGCCGATCTTCCCGGAAAGCCGAGCTGATCTGTGCGTAAAAGGCAATGCCGATTTCCCTGAAACCCTCCGGTGTGGCGCCGGGTGGTTGTCCAAAGATTAAAAAAATAAATAAATTTCGTGGGAATTTTTTTAAGCCGCAACTCAAAAGTTCTTCAGAGATATATAGATCGACAGATCGATAGATAGATATTTTTAACAGAGACGTTTTAAGGCTGTAAACCTCGTCACACATCCCGCGGGACGGAGCATCGCTGCGCTCCAGACCAGCGGGCGCCTGTGCGCGCGTGTCCCTGGGGCCTTGTTGCGGGTAGGGAGGGCCCGGTCCGAGCTGGCGAAAGTCCAAGAAAGCCATTTTGGGACAGGTCTGTGGATGTGCATTTTCTGAGAGCCAATAGCCCCGTCACTCTGTCTGCCCTTCCGTGAGGCAAACGCCCACGACGCATCGGGGGGCGGACGCGGGTCCGCAGCCGGGGGAACCTCGAAATCCCGTCCCCAAGGACGCCTCCGTTTAGCCTCCCCTCCTCAAATCACGGAAGGCCACCACCTCGGCCCCTGTGAGCCTCGGGCCCTCGGCAACGCCGCGGGGAGGTGTTGTAGAGGAGCAGAAGGTAACAGAGAAATCCATCTTTTGGGGCCTTTAACAGAAAACATTTATTGCCAGGAGGAGATCCTTCAGAAAACTAATTTGCTAATTTGCTCTTGGCCTTCCCAGACCCAGCTATTTGTCGGCACAATATTTACACCTGTACAATACACAGTATGTCTCCTAAGCAGCGCCCGAGGCCCAGAGAAGTCGGGCGGGCGGGCAGGTGTCAGAGCGCCGGGGGATGCTGCGGCGGGTGCAGGTTGAGGCCGTTGGGGTGGGCGTGGCCAATTAGGTTGAGGTAGTGCCGGTCCAGGCCCTGCACTGGCCCCAGGAAGGGGCTGTGCTGCTGCGTGGGGCTCGGGAGTGGCAGGGGCGTGCTGGGCAGGTAAGGCAGCCCCGGGCTGCGGGCCGCGCCCTGCTGCCAGGGGAAGGGCCCGGTGGCGGCACCCTGCGGGAACACGGAGGTCTCACCGGGGCTGTGGCCCCCGAACTCGGGGCCCGCTGGGTGCAGCTGATAGGAGAAATCCGGCTCCGAGAGGGGCCCCAGGGGCTGGAAGGCGGGCTCAGCGCCCAGGCGGGCCTTGGACTGCAAGAAGGCGAGGATGCGCGCGTACTTGGTGTCCTTGGTCTCCATCCGCTCCACGGTGGTGAGGTAGTGCACCAGGTTCTTCATGCACTCGTGGTAGCCATAGTGGAAGTAGTTGGCAAACTCTGCTAGCAGTTCTGCTGGAGGGGCGAGCAAAACCACAGAAAGGAAAAAAACTGAGCAGCCCCTTCCCTACCTGGAGCCCCAGGCGGGTGTCCGAGGCGGGTGCCGGGCACCTCCCGGCAGGCGTTCTGGCCGAAGTTGCATTTGAAGTCCGCCCTCCCCTCTCCCCAGACTGGAGGCCAGAAAAAGCGCAAGCAAGCGACCTCCTTTTCTTGCGAGACTGACTCTTTGCCTGCCCACTTGAGAGGAGGCTACGGAACTAGGATGCCCAAAAACAAGTTCTCCAGCCACCTCCCCCCGCCCCGCCCCCGCCCCCAACTTTGGCAGGTTCCCAGCTCGTACCGACTCCGGCAGCGTGCAGAGAGGAGACCTTTCCCGCGCTCCCCTTAACTCCTACTGCCACCCCCGGGTCTCTGTGCGGCGCACGCTCCGTGCCCAGAATTCCCATTGACTAGCCAGCGCCCACCTTTCTCCCTTCCCCGGGGAAAATCGGCAGAGTGCAGCGCCCTCAGGTACTGAACGGTCATCTCCAGGATCTCCGCCTTCTCCAGCTTCCCGGAACTCTGCAAAAGGAGAAGGGTTCCCCACAGCGGCCCAGCGGGCGCAGGCCCACCCCCGCAGGATGGGTGCACGGTTCGATCTGGAGAGGATGAGCGAGCAGGGCGCTGCTGTGGATCTATGCGAGGGCCTCGGGGGACTCAGTCAGCGGTCAGGCCGCCGGGGACGGAGGCTCCAGGGTGAGGGTCCCTCGGTCCTCAGGCTCCCTGCACCGAGGCAGAGAGTGGCAGCCGAGGATCCCCAGCGCCTAGGACCCTGTCTGCCGCTGACGTTACCTGTTTCGCCAGGGCCATGGGGACTGTCTTGCCCAGCTCGTTCAAACAGCGGTTAATTCGGTCCCTCCTCCGCTTTTCTATCACTTTGTGGGATACGCGGGTTCTCTGCGAAGAGAAGTTTGCGGATTTCGGATAGCTTTGCGCAGGGAGTGAACAACGGCACGGATGTAGCTGCCTGCCCGCCGTCTTCCCAGCCCCCAACGCTACCCAAGGACTTGCCCCCGGAAGGAGTCCCTGCCCCTCCGCACTTGGATCAAACGAGCTCTGCCCTCTCACCCCCGCGTTGGTGCGCTCGCCTTCCAGCCTCCCTACCCGTGGGCTACACAGCCAAGCTGAGCGCCACGGCCTTGGGGAGTCGGCCACTAGGCGTGGGCTTCCCCCTGGTTCAGGAGTCTCCTCTCTCCTCATTCCCTTCCCAAACCACTCGGAATTCCTCCTGAGGAAAAGTCATCCGTGGCCACGTTCCTGCCGGGGGCCCAGCCAGGTGGCCGCTAGGGAGTCAGCCGCCCCCGCCGTCAGGGCGCAAGAACCGTCTGGCCTCGACCGACTCACTTTGCGTTCCTTGAGCTTGTCTGACATCCTGGTCAGAACGCGCCCTCGGGAGAGGCGGTGGCGCGAGGCACCGTCCACTCTCCGCCTCGTGTGCCTCTTTTAGTGTCCCAGGTAGACTGCCGCCTCCCAGCTCCGGGGATCCGCCTTATAAAGCGGTCATCTTGGGCTCCAAGTGCATTCACGAGTTGAATTATTCCATAGGATTAGGGAGCTGCGTTTGGGGGACGTATGCATTCAAGATCAGTTTTAAAGGAGTTAAGGAAAAAAATTAGCAGCCGAGGGGGGCGAGCTGGGGGCCAGATCAGCTTTGTTAATCCACGTGGCCCTTAAAAGGACACGTGATCGGCGGGGAAGAATATTTGCATGGCAACAGCCCGGGCAGGGAAAGGAGGCGGTAAACTGGAGACGCGGGCGAGCGCCGGCGGCAGCCTGAGGCGCGGAGCGCAGGGGCGCAGCGGCCACGGGCACCGGGGGGCGAAGGCCCTCACAAAACAGTGTCGCCTCCTTTAGTCCCACCGCTGAGTCTCACACGATTGCCTGTTTACAAATCCCAGCAAGACCGCGGTCCCAGCGCCGAGTGCGTTTTAAAGCCTGTCCAGAGTCATTAAAGTAATTAAGTAAGCCTTTAATAGGCTGTTCCGCTGGGTTCAAGGGAGAGCTCTTGGAGACGGAGGCGCCCCGTTTGTTCCCAGGCTTTTCTCACACGATTTGGTGACACGTCCGTCTCCCCCTTTTTTGTTTACACCGCTTTATTTGTCCGGACATCCCGGCAGGTGTGGGGCTGCGGCTGGCACACGAGGCTCCCGGCTCGCACCGCCCCTCCCTCCAGTCTTTGGCACGCGACGCTCCCCCTGCTCCCTGACCACGTCGCTTGCTTTTTTCCCTCCCCCCTCGGGCTCTCTTCGCGGGGGAAAGAGGCTCAATTTGTAGCCTCTTATCCTATACGAAAATGTCCATTGAAAAGTATGAATAGTTTCATTGGGCTAAATTTTAATAATGCCAGAGGATGGGGGAGGAGAGGCTGGCAGGCGTGTGGGGGGGGGGGTGCGGAGGGCGGTGGGAGGATTGGGGGGCAGCAGAGGAGAGTAGGCCGAGAAGAAAAGGGGGAATGCAGCTGGCCCAGGCGAGCATTATGCAACGTCACCTGCGAGAGGGGGCGCCTACAGACCCCTATTCATTTGCCTAATTTTGGTCAATTTAACAAACTTCAGGAGAAATTATTGTGGCTTTGTCAGGGAGGGTGAAGCCTTCTGATCGAATTAACAGCATGTTTTGATCCGGTAAATGTCATTAGAAAGGGAGAAACAATCGCGCTTAGAGGGCTCTGAGTAATGCGCCCAAGTGGAGACGCCAAAGCGCACGGCTCACAAAGGGAGCAAGTAGCTGCCACAGGGAACTTTTGTACCCGCCCATCGCCCAAGTTTTGACACAAAAAGGCATTATTTCATACTTGAATACGTTTAATCCAACGATTGTCTATTTTCTGCAAACATATTTTCACAGCATTGTTAACTTTTTATGTCCCCCTTTCGTGGCCGCCTTTTCTTAGCGTTTGAGGGAGGGAGAGCGCAGACACTTTGGGCATCAATATTTGTCACTGAAAAGGGCTCCGTGAAGTTAGGGAAGTTGATCTCTTTTTTATGGTTTTAGAGAGCAAATATATGGGGGGCGGGGAGGAGGAGGGGGGTAAGGCAGCCACAGAAACCGGGGAGGACATTTGCTGGACAGGCCCAAGGGGAAGGAGGAGGGAGGCTGCTGGGAACTCGCTCCACCGACCGCGCCTCTGCGGGCAGCCTGGCCCAGTGGCCGCGGCCTCGGCCCCCGCCGACAGGGCTCGCTCCCACTTGCTGCCTCAGAATCACACTCTGGGGTCTCTGACCCTGTGGGGGTGTGGCAGGAGAGGTGGCTTTCCTGCAGATGGAAACTATAAAAGTGTTTTTGTTTTATGACCTGCTCTGCAGCCACGGAGCTCTCTCCTCCCTCTACTCTGTTCCTTCTGAGAACCGAGACCTCTCCTCGGATATCTTCCCCTCTCTTCCGCCTCCCGCCTCCCTTCAACTCTCTCTTCTCTGCGGGGCTATGGCAGGGTCCCTGGCTCTCCCTTGGGGTGTCCTTGGTCCTTGGCAGAGGTGGCTGGGGCAGAGCCCTTGCTCGCCGGTGGGAACTTGGGAGCTCCTAGAACGCAGAGCCCGTCCTGGGGTGCGGATGCTGGGGAAACGAGCAGCCCACCAGCTGCCCACCTGGGAGGTGTGGGGCTCGGCCTGCACCCCTAGGGGGTCCCTCTCGGTCTTGCTTTCTGTCTCCTTCCGATGTTTCTTCCCTACTTCACACCAGATTGGACACAACCCGCACCCTCCCGCAGGTTGCTCTGCCAGCCTCCAGTGCCCTCCCAGGGGTTGTCAGTTTCAGCATAGTCACTCTCACAAAAGGATTAAACAGGAACCCTTATCATCCAAATTAACTAACGTGAATGGGTGAAAGGGAGCGCTACACTCCTCGCCCCCAGCCCTTCTTTAAGCCAGCGGACTAGGAGCTGATCCTCTTACTGCTGGTGTTAACCGCCAGCTGCAGGCACTTTCCATGGGCCGAATTTCAGTCTGTGCGAACTGTTTAATTTCCCATGTTTGCTCGGGAGCTGGGCTCCGGGGCTTGCCTAGGGCCACCAAGTGCCCGCGGGGTCTGGGGACCCAAGTGAATTGAAGGTGAGTGTGTGGGTGGAGACGGAGTGGAGGTTGAGCGCATCCTCATTATGTTCTCAGGGGGCAGCGGCTCCTCTGGGAGCCTGAGAACGCCTCTTTCTGTTGAGATGAGGAAGAGGATGTGTTCATTTCTCCGTTACCCGCCTGCGCCAGCCTGGAGGCTTGAATCCAGGAGACCGAGTGCTGGGCAGGGGTCCTCCGTGAGGTCGTCCTTTGAATCCTCCTCCTCAGGATGGCAATAAAGTGTTCCCTGATCTTGACCTTGTTTCAGCCCCAAATGAGAGCAGAGCAATGAAGAGCAGAGCAATGAAGAGCAGAGGTTGCTGGCGCCCAACAGTCCTTCAAATTTCGGCTCCAGCGCCTATCAGGGTGAGACTTTGGGCGGACCACTGAATCTTGCTGTGCCTCAGTTTCCTCTTCTATAAAATGGAAGAGAAAATTACTTTCTTTACTAGGTCACAAGGTGGCCAATGGAATGAAATAAGCAAATATAGGCAAGGCACTCAACACAAGGCTTACCTACTCAATGGATGGTTTTATTTTGCACAGAAATCTCTTCTGCAGTGGCTCTAGTACAGTATTTTGTGGGGTTTGCACTGTTGTATGATATTTCCATTCATTTCATATTTGTTATCTCATCCCAAGGAAAGTTTCACCCTCCTTGAAAAGCCACAGTAAATTCTTACGCCGACCCAAATGAGGCCAACGAGCCCTTGGCCGCGCCCGCCCAGAGGGGCCTCACCAAGTGCTTGCTGGCCGGCGTGCCCTCCGGGCGCCAGGAGCGAGGGCTCTCAGGGCAGAAGCCTGCCGCCACTGTAGCCGGCTAAGCGACTCCAGCAGTCAGCATCAAAATCAAAGCACAGCTAGGGCGGAAGACTACTTAGAAATTAGACAATGCTAGTTGAATCTGTCTGTGTTTAGACTCCTGGAGAGACATGCAGGCCAAAAAAAAAAAAAGTTGCATTACAGAGGGAGACAGTGCCCTAAATACCCAATAAAACACTGGGACAAGCGGTGCTTCACAGTCCTTCTTGCTCGAGGGAAGCCTTGCAATCTAAGCAGTTAATTCATTCCACTTGGTGGCAGCCTGAAAGTCCCCAGCCTGCTGTCATTCTGGTGTGTCCATTCCTACCTGGGACTTGCCCATCAGGTGGCCCTCAGCTGCCAGACACCAAATGCTGGCCTCCAACTTCAGGCTGAGCGGTGCTCCTCAAATGTTAAAGTGCCCAGGAATCAACTGGGGGCCTTCTGAAGTGTAGGTTCCGATCCCCCTACTCTTGTTTACTGCTCAGTATAGTCTGTTGACGGAAGGAAGACAAGGCAGGGCACCCACGATTGCTTTGGCATCGGTGCTGGAGCCCGTTCCACAGGCAGTCTGCCACAGGACCCCATGTTTCACCATTTAGCTTTGGACTTTTAAAAAACCAGGGGAAGTGTAAATATAACCGCTGAGGAAGAATGCTTGTGCAGAGAGTGCAGGATAGATGGAGGTGCTGCTTTCCATTTTTTATGTCGGCGTCACTTAGAAGTATGCTGCAGAAGCCGTGAGGGCTCTGATTGTTCTAGGCAGCGGGCTTTCCTCGGAGGCTGACAGTTACAGCCTTAGCTCTGTGTTAACTTGCAAGCCGTCCAGAAGTGATCACTCAGGAAGCTTTGCCTTAGAGTTGAGGGGATCTTATTACAGGATAAAGGGTTTTGTCTGCTTTACAGGGCAAATCTGCACAGAAAACTAGAAACATATATTACTGAAAATAAGGCATAATTGTGATAAGTAGCACAGAACTTGGGGAAGAGATTCATGCCGAGGAGAAACATAACTTACAGAACGTCCGCAACAGGTTTTAATTCACTTTGTTTCTTTACATGATTCTTACCAATCAGACATTCATTTGAGGACTTATAAATCCTCACATTGAAGAACTCTGTTGCCTCTGAGAACTTAGGGGACTCTCGTTAGGGTGAATTGATATAACTGGATTTTGTTCCTCCCTGACACCAAATAAAGGAGGCTGCCAAGAAAACAAGCCTCGATCAAGATGGAGTGATTTTGGAAACCCTGCTATATTTGTTTTCTGTGGCTGCTCTAACAAATTCCCATACACCGGGTGGCTTACAGCAACAGAAACATCTCTCACAATCTGGAGGCCAGAAGCCTGCAATCAGTAGCCCTGGCCTGAAATCAGGTGTCAGCAGGGACATGCCTCCTCCGGAGGGTCTAGAGGAGAATCTGTTACTTTGCCTCTTTAGCTTCAGGGCCGCCAGCACTCTTTGGCTTGTGGCCGCATTCCTCTAGTCTCTGCCTCCACAGTCACCTTGCCTTCTCTGTGT